CATACTGTGTGAACACGTTTGGATCATACAAGTGCCTTTGTAACAAGGGATACAAAGAGGTTTACGATGCAAAGAAAAAACTTTTAAAATGCCAGGGTATGGTTACAATTGTAGCTGTTACGTCTCTTCATCAATAGCTTCTTTTTTCACAAAGGATCATCTAGTATGTCGGCCTTTTCATGGCCATTTTAAAACTTCTAGAGAGAGGTTGCTGGAATAGTTTTGGTTATATATGATTTATATACGATGAGTTATCTCTGTCAGTTTGACTACCTGAGTGAAAACTACCTGACGAAAACGTCACTTAGAACTTGCGGAATTCGCTCTGTTTCAAACTTCATCACTACAATTTTACCTCGGTTCAATTTGTCAACTGTGGGAGAGTTTTTCTGTAGTTAATCGTACATGACTTTAGCTCAGACCAGAAGTTTACGGAAAAAACAGGCTCATCCTTGGTGTAAAAACCTGTGAACCTCACGAGTGACGTCAAACAATGAATACAAAGAAACTAGTGAGAAGAGAAGACAAATAATAGAGCTAAGGAAAATAATAGCTAGAAAACAAAGAAAAACTTCACAGGTTTTTACACTAAGGTAAACCCGAAAAAAATATTTGTCTTGTGTTCTCGTCTACATAACACTTGAAATTAGGACGCTTTCACGTCTTAGTTGTGCAAGAACGGCAAAGCAATGTACAAGAAAAAGCGGACGTGCAAAGTTACTGTTGTTTTGCTAATCCAACCCCCCTTTTTTTTCTTTTGACGTTGCAATTGTCTTTGCCATCGTCGTCGTTATTGTTCAAGCTCCTTAATGTCGGAAAAGTAGTCATGGCCCAAGCGACAAAACTTTCTTCTTGGACTGGAAAACTGATTTATATGGGACACTTTTATTTGTCCCAAGAGAACAACCTTATACAGGGGCGCCCAAAGGCTGTTTTCTGCAAAATAACTCTTCGGAGAAGCAAAGAATGCCTAGAATTTTCTATACCTTGAGGAAGGCTAAGAATTTCTAGATTACCGTTCCATTCGTGTAAAATTTTCGATGCTTATCTAATAAATTCCCTACGATTTTTTGCATTTCACTTCCGGATTAAGCTATTTTGTCACAGAAAAAGGAAACCTAAAATTTTCGGATTCAAAAATGCGATGGAAAGACGAATCAGAAAAATTTTAACCTTCGTAAAACTTTAAATTGCATCTAAAATTTTTGTGAAAATAATACTGAAGCCCTGGTATTTTGAAAAGACTCAAGTTGCCCTAGGATGACCCAACAGATATAAATTTTAAAGCGCCGACAAGAATTATTGTCTTAGTCGATCTTCAGTGGAGGAAAAGTTTAAACTTACCAATCCCAACTGCAGGTTTGCACGTGACGTCAAGGCGGCCATCATGATGTTGGGGGATCAAAACTAAAGCATTTCTCTTTTCTGGAAACTAAACTCTATTTTCATGTAAATTCTTCAAGAAAAAATTCTTCTGTTTTGACCTCCGACATGGCCGTCTTGCCGTCTTGGTTGCAAAGAAAAAATTGTGATTTTTATTTTCTACGTCTAGATTGATTCATACTGGTTCTCTTTTTCTCTACGACTGAAACTAATTCTTGATATGTTCAACAATAACTTCCATGGAAAAAATGCGCTAACGGCAGTCCAATAGCCCACGTTCGATTTATTAAAAATTCTAACATGAATCCGCGGCTTTAGGGTCAAAATTATAGCTTCTTTAAGACTCCATTGTCTTGCAATTCCCAAAAGAGACCAGCTTGAGCACAAAGAAAACCAAACCAATAGAAAAATGACCAGAAAGCCTCGGAGTCATGTTAAAATTTTAGCATATCGAATGTGGGGAATTGTCCAAACAAGGAAAGAAAACGACGCACATGCACACAAAGCTTTACATGCATCTTATGTATCAATTTTCATGTCGTATATATACTTCCAACAGGTACAACTGGAGGATGGGGGACAGGGTTTTTCAACTACAAGCGCCTCGCACTAGGGACCTTTTTGACGAAAGCTTACTAGTTTAGGGGTTGACCAGAGAGGAGACAGCATTGTGTTCTTTGAGGAAAGCCGCGTTTTTCTTTCTGAGTAATTTGCTATGTTACTTTTCTAGATGTTAACGAATGTAGCATACCTGACATCTGTCCTGCTAATTTCGAGTGCAAGAATTTGAAGTTTACGTACAAGTGTGAATGCAGAGGAGGGTTCAAATATCAAATTAAGGAGAAAGGAAAAAACAAGGAATGCGTGGGTGAGTTTTGGCGTATAATTCTCATAAAATTGGGCAAAATTATTTGCATTTTACTCAAAATTAAAAAAGGGAGATATAAAGAATCAACGATAAGAGGACACAGAAAAAAACTGAGCCACAGAAGGGATTCGAAACTACGCCCCTACGCGGTTCGTAAGTCCAACCCAAAAAGAGTGACCCTGCTTGCGCTCGCCAACGAGTCCTCAGTACTCAATGGTTAGAACACGGAGGGTCGTGCGTTCGAATCACATCTGGAGTTCAGATTTTTTCAATGCCCTCTTTTGGTTGATTCTTTGTATCTCCCTTTCCTAACTTTATTATTTCATATCAGTGGGATAGGTTGGATTGCTTTTCTTATCAAAACTCGTAAACCATGGCCAACTC